ATGCCGTCATTGACATCATCCGCATCTGGATCATCGTCGTTTAACTTTGATGCTGTATTTTTTCGATATTTTTTTCTCTTCTCATTCGAATAATTAATTCTCGACATGGCGCAAAATATGATGAATTACGCAAACAATATGGGTAAGATGAATCTTTTAGAAAACGTTGAATGGATAAATAATAACTACGTAATGTTTCTGGATCATATTTTTGACCTTTTCTTGTACGTATCGAACACAAATAATCTAGTAAATAATCACGCATTTTTTCTGGATCTATCCGAATTAATGTTACCGGTTCATCATATTTCCGCTTTAAAAATTTTTTAAAGCGTCTCACATCTTGACGTGTTTTCAATTTTGTATTACCCAATGTACGTCGTAATGGTGTGTGATCATCATACAACATTTGACCATACTAAAAAACACAAAAAGATTGAACAATTAGTGAATCATTTTAATCGCTTGAGATATTGAGATACAAGGTTACCAAATACTTTAGATTTGGTTGTCACACTGTGAATTTATACTTTCCTAACTTTTATCTGACCGAGATTCAGATAAAAATTAGGAAAGTCGGTCCGAGGTTATTCTGACCGGTTCTGGTTTTTGTTCTCCATTTATCACACAGTTACGTGAACTTATGGCATACTATTTTCAATATAAGTCGTATTTTTAACGTATCTCTTTTGACTTTTAACAATTTATTTGTACTAACCATTTCAAGCGTTTTGAGAAACTTAAATTTTGAAAAATTATGTACGAAGAAAATAACACGTGCACTTTTTTTATTTGGTACTGTGCACACAAGGAGTATGACTATAGTTGTTATAAATATGAATATTATTGCATAAAAAACTTTGCGACATTTTGCTACAACATCATATCATATATTTATAGTACAGTTTTTAAAAAACGGATATTTGCATGACACTTAAGACGATTCTGATTATGTTTGTTAAGACGTAAGCATCGATATGTCAAAATTACACGATAATCCGATTGTAAGATAAAGTGTTATGAATAATATTTTCTTTTCCTCAGTCATATCATTGATATAATATCTGTGCTCGTATGTGTTTTTTTACATAAGACCCTGAAAAGTTTAAAAGTATTCTCTAAAAGTCGATGAAGTTATAAATAGTTATAAATCGATTTATAACTAATTATTTATAAATATTTGATTTATAAATGTATTTATAAACTGTCTTTCGCTTATCCAAAAGTTGAAAGTGAAATAAGTTTAAAATCATTTATAAATCATCGTATTTTAAACGTTTCAATGTGATGTGATGAGGACAAAAAAACAATGAATTTTTCGATCATACAAAAAAATGTTATTTTCCAACTGAGTATGACTATTAAAAGAACTGGAAACTGATCATAACAAATAAAATCCTTAAAACTGATCAAACATAAGTCTTAAATAGTCAATACGATCATAGTGTTTATGTTAGAAGAGGTACACGTGGTATAATAATACTTAACGAGTAAATGTAATGTTTATTTTGACATTCACAGCAGAACAGTCAGTGACATGCTCCTAGTCATGGTCTACTAGTTCTTTTTTTTCTCACTTCACAAAAGCATAAAAAAATCGAACACAAAAAAATTATTACCAACAATCGTTTATATTTAATCGCCTATTTAAAATACTTTCATTTTCCAAATAAATAAGTTTTGAGACAAAGAAAAAAAACCTGTTAATTTGTAGCAAAATATGTAATAACAAAAAGATTGTCAAATTAGATTTATGTTTGATGAATGAAGAAAGTTTAAACTAATGATTTATTCTCATATTTTTCATTTATCTATGTATGTATTCGATACGCCTATCTAATTCGAGATAATCCACATATTTTTTAGTTATAAGCATAACTGAAAGCACAAGTGTATTCTCCTACCTTCATCATGTCTTGATCACAAAGTTAGCATGTATTTGTACACTATCTCTCTACCCTTTTAATAATGGTGATAATAATAGTAATAATAATAATAATCATACGAGAAATAAGTATAAAAGTCGCAATGATTACAGGAACAAACATAAACGATAGTCAGAAAAAAAGAAATAGAAGAAAAGAACAAAAAAAAAAAAAAGAGGAAAAACGTTAGTTGTAGTGGTGGTGTTTAAATGTAAGAGACATATCTATAGTTAAATTGTATAAGTGCAATGCAACTATGATAAATTAATAATGAGTATTTTTCTTTCTCTATGTCTTGATGAATCTTTCTTCACCAATATAAATAGGTATATAGATTATAGTATTTCTATTTTATTACAAACACATAGAAAAAAGAAAGCTGTTTTTTTTTTTTTTAAAGAAAAACAATATGTAAAAGCTCAGTTTTCACTTTATTTGTGTTATAGTTGTGAGAGAAAAATATATTTATTTAAAATGAACATAGACATTCCATTTTTTTTTTCTATGTTATATGCACAAACATTGTCTCTCTCCTTCTATAAATGTGAGGATGCATGTATATATATGTATCTACGAATTGTAAATTTATAGTTTCAAATTACAAACACATAGAAAAAAAGTTAATTTGTTTCGTGAGAAAACCTATGCTCTTCATATTTTCGGAATATACTTTTGAAAAATCTCAATTTTTTTTTTGTTCTATTTAATTTTTTATATTTCTACATATATATATATATGCATACAACAGCTGATAGCATATGCAAGAAAAAGAAAAAGAAAAAAAAAGAGAGAGAGAGAGAGAATAATGGAAAAACATTTCTTTTTCTCTCTCTAGGTTGTATATATATATATATATATATATAGCTATATCTATATCTGTATATATGTGTGTATGTGTATATGTAGATATTTGATGTTGTGACATAAAAAAACTTATCAACTTGTTCAATAAAAGAATGTTATCTTTGTGGTTGAATATCGATTATGCGATATTTTCTAGACTAATAAAATGTGTGTACAGTAATAAAACAGAAAAAAAAAAAAAGAGTCGAATAGAGATAAAACAAGTGCGTAAGTTAAAAAATGATGGCGTAAAATTTTATATGAATTGGATAATAAGAAACAGGAATTTCAACAAAGAGAAAAACAAAACACTTATTGTATAATTTTTATTTTACTATGTTTTACACGTGCGCAATATAAAATAATAAATTCAAATTGAATATTATCTAAATTTCAAAATTTATCATAAACAACAAATCGACATATAATCATTAATTGGATTTAGTGCCGTAAGCACTCTCGGAAACAAGCAAACATTCTTAAATTGTTTGTTTTTTTATCCATTTCAGACCCATAAGTATTTAATTTTTTATTCTAACACTAAATATTATTTTTGAGCTACGTTAGTAAAAGTTTCTATTTATATAATTGACTCTGGAATGTCTCTGCTATGCAATAACTGACACTTAAAAGAGTGTAACGGAAATGTATCATTAATACTATAAAAACTATTTGTTGTAAGCAGTACTTATAAGCATTTCTCGCTTTCATATCTTCTTCAAGAACTCTGATAATAGATGCCTTTTTTTTTCTCTTCTAACTACGCTTTTGTAAACTCTATTCATACTTTTGAGGTTTTTTTAAGTCTTTCCATATGAAGGTCAGCAATATTTCGAATATAGTATATATATACAAAGCAAAAATATTTAAAACTTAATATAAACTATATTCTCTTAGAAAATATAATAATAAAATGACATTTTACAGAGTACAAATCATAAGATCAACAAATTATCGTATTTTTATATATTTTGTTCGCTCTTACTCACGGCGCAAAAGTTTACTCGCGACACTTGAATATTTTGATAATGAAGTAACTTATTAATAGTCATGTTCTTTGAGAATATTGTAGTATGAATCATAGAACTCTAACATATTTTTTCTTTTCATTTGTCAGCGAATATGATTCTATCATAAGCCCTGAAACGTCTCCGCGCACACATAAACAAATATTTGCTCATTATATACTGTGCATGTATCACTTTCAACAATAAAAAAGGGTTTTTAGTGCTTTTTATCAGTTTAATAAGGTGTCAGTTATAAAAAAAAAAAAAAAAAAAGTCAAAAAAATAAATGTAGAAATACACGCGCACACAATAATGAGGAAATAGTGAATATAAATGAGGGCAAAGACAATAAAATAACAAACTAAAAAATTTGTGTTTTATTCCAGATTACAAGTTATGTTCGATAATAATAGCTGATTATGAGACGCTCAAATATCATCATATGATATTGCCCATAACAAATTCTAATACGAGAAGGATACTATAATCTTTTAGTAAATAAATATTATGGGACCAGTAGTATGACAGCAATACTTTTGATAATACGTCATCCTGTCTCATTAGAGAAGAGATAATTATTCATCTGTGATGTTAGACTTTTTTTTTAAAGCGAAAGAGATTACTTGTACTACTTGTACGCATAGGATGTTAAAAAATTGCATTATTCAAAAGACTATTTTTAAATAATGCAACAAAACGCTAACACTAGTTACTCTTAGAATTTATTAAAAATAGCATCTAATATATTTAATGTACTTTAGTTCTACTAGATATGAGTAGACGAACGTGTATATAAATGATGGTGTATTTATTGACAGACAAAAAAAAATGCACTGACGGAGAAAAAAACCTGCTATTTGCTCTAGTTTTATTTCTGTAATCCAGTTGTTTTACAATTCTATACCAGTCCTGTAAGACAACCAGGATCATAGCCATTTAGAATAAATAGTGAATTTAACAACCTCTACTTGAAAATTCTCTTCTCCTCTTTTTTTTTTAGACCAAAACTGCACACTTTATTAAAAACCATCTGTTTTCTTAATAAAATTTGTATACCTTCAGCCTAAAAACGCTTTGACTGCTGTTTTTTGACTATTTGAATTTCTTTTTCGCCGCTAAAAGTCGATTTTCTCTGTACGCAATATATTGTCGATTTTATACATCGATTTGATGAGTGAATGAATATAAATCATCTTTATTAAACTAATTTCCTAGACAAAAGTCATTCTAATCACACCTGTTTCAAAGGATATCAAACATGAAATGAAAAATTGACTCTCTCTATTTGTCATTAATGAGGGGACGCCAGGGGGAACAATTTATTTATTGATTGAAAAGAAGATATTTATCATCCAGTATTACATAAAGATTAAATTATCAAACTTAACATAAACTATTAAAAAATAGATTTTTATTGTGCATATCTAATGAAGTAACACTGTCGTATCTGAGTATATTCAAACATAGAATGTATTTCTAATAGTAATTGTTTTCCATTTTTTTATATAAAAAATGTTGTACGCTAATTTTCATTAGTATGCAACTAAAAATATATTTGATATAATATTAGACTAACTGTATATTGTATTTTCTCGTAGACTTCTTTATCCTATAATACTCAATTGTCTACTGCAGATAGATTACAAAAGGCTTTTTTCTTGTTTCTTGGACAAAACAAACACAAAACAACTGTACAAGATTATCGTCTCTTCTTGCACGTACACAAAAGACAAATACATACATTTTTTTTCGAGCTTTTATATAATGAATTAACGTATGCGTAAATAACACTATCAACGACATACAAGACACTATTTGGCACAAAAAATTGTAGAATTTTTTTGCTTTTATTTACACCGACAAATGTTTGAATTGGTAATTAAAAGAAAAAGAATTTTTATGATTTAACATTGATGATCAATCATGATCAAAAAAAAGAAAATTTAATCAAAATTTTCTTTCGATTTACATAGAATTTTCTAGCTCAGTAAGATTGTTTCTAAGTATGTTTTCTTAGAAAAAAAACAATTGAAATTAATTTCTATTAGAAACAATATCTAAGTAATTACTAACATAATCTTTTTCCTCTTATCAACCATTAACAACAATAAAAATCATAACAGACGAACTATTATCATCTAGCATATAACAATTATTAGTACAAAGCAAAAGATTAATCAAAGTATTTTTACTTGAAATTGATAACGTCACAAATATGTCTTACTTCTATATATATAAATATATTCTTTATATTTTTACACCACCTAAATATTTCTAGTTATCAATTGTAATAATGAATATTTACCACTATTTTATCCATTTATATAATGACCTCTAAACTGATCGCAAAGAAGGTGTTTTCGATACGGTTGATGTACCACTGTGATGAAATAAAGTTTCATTGTATAATCTAGTCCTTTCTACAATGTTGAGCAGTACAACTATAAATAATACCGTGTATCTATTTCCTTATGCTGTACACTGCAAAATAGAAAGTCTAAACGTTAGCGAAAAAGTAAGAAACTTCCACATCATGAGTCGGTTGTCTGATGGCACAAGAAAAATTAGTTCTCATTCTCTTAAAAGATAATTGTCAGCGTCTCTGAATCGGTAGTCATATTTCAAATCGATTAAAAGGACATATCACATATTCAATCACAGAAACTCATCGTTTTTTCACTGTTACGCTCAAATTCATAAAAAAATTCACTGTCACGAAATAAAACTTGAACAATGATGTTGCCAAAAGAAAACAAGAATAATAAAATACACTTTGTTTGTGTAGAGATATATAAAGTTGTACTTTACAGTTTATAGCGAGGGTATTACCTTATGTCCAAATTGCTTTTATTGCAAAATGAAAAGTTCAACAGTACAACAATAGAAATTTCGCTGAGCGCTACATCATCCTCGATGTACGATCAACTCGAATTTGTGACATAATCTGACTATATAGTCAGGTTATGCCTTGTCTTTTCCAACGAGAATTTCGATGTTGTAAAATGAATTTCTCTCTAAAAGTAGTCAGAAATCGATTAAGCGCAAGGATCACAACAATTTTTCTTCTACCTCACAGAAATTTCTCCTTTTTCAAAATTAGAGATAAAAACTGCATTAGAACTATCTTATACTTTTGGGTATTTTGTTGACGACTGTCAACAGTTCTCAGTCATTGTTGAGACTACGCAGAGTCAAAAACGAGACGTCAGCTTTACATTCAAAAACTAGTTTAGGTGTTAAATATATTAACGCAGAAAACATGCTATGAGTTAAGAACTATTCTCAAATGTTTCACTATAATGTCTTATGTAATATCTGACAGGAATCCATCAGACTGTCTTACTCATGAATCTTCCTTGTATCCTCTCTTCCAGTTTAGTTTACTTAAGCACAACTGCCTTTGATATGACGCTATCTTTCTGACTAACTCTCACACTGCTGTCGTCATGCACTTTTCCAGGTCTGTAAATTATCGAAATATTAATTTACTGTTTCGATATGCTGCACCTCTAAGAACTTTAAGAAAGGACTAATCATTCCGAAATTATGTTCGAAGATATATACTTATATACTTACTTGAATAAAACATGTGGTTTCTTTCAGACATTTTGTAGTATTTTTGTCTCTTTGTGGCTGATGTAGTTCTCTCATTTTTTGTTGACTGTCTATTTGCTTTGTTGCGTCAGACTGATGAACTTTTCTGCTCAAAACTCAAGTCTACTGGATGGAGTTTCTAGGAAGAAATTGCTGTCGGAGAAGAGAAATTCCTGTGTATCTATAAAGAAATTCTGAGAATTTCTTTAGTTTTTCCAGAATTCTCCACTTCACGAAAAAGCTTACTATGAGACGAGTAAAATTCCTGTTACAATATTAAAATTCTCTTTGGAAAAGGGAAAGTTCGGAGTTGAAAAAATTGAAAAAACCACATTGCTGATGTTAGCTGATGCTGCACTCTCACCCTACTGCTCCCCATTCTATGTTGACAACTCGTATTAGAACCCTCTCAATGACAATACAGCATGTCTTGGGAAAGGCAAAGGAAAAGTCGAGAATAAAAAGAGTTCAAATTCAAAATTTGTATAGAAGGTATTTTAACTGTTTTCGCACTTCTTCAAGTTTTAATTGGACTTTTGGGTTCAACACGTATGGATATTTTTTATTTCTATTTTGCTGGAACATACGTTTTGCAGCATAAGGAAACTGAACATAATATGGAGGGCGTATGATGTAGCCGTTTTTCGATCTAGATGGTAGCAAGGTCCAAATGTGAGGCCAAAAATCAAAGTATATAGTATCAACCTTTCTTGAAAAAATCTTCAATGACTAAAACGTAAGAATTTTCATATTATCTACAGTCTTACTAATAAATCATATCATTAAACCCATTGATCACTGATGATGACTCATAAAGGAGCTATACATCTAAATTATTTCTAGATGGTTGGCATATTCAACTCTCTTGTCCGACTGTTTACTATGCTCATCTAACGATTAGATAGTAATTGTTTTTGTTTATATATATCACTGCATTTCAATATTGCGCGTTATGAATAGGAAAAAACAAAAAGACGCGCTTACTCTAGAGTCTTAATTGACAGCTAACGTTTAGCGATAACACATCACTGTCTCTTTTAATTGCCACAATCAAAATTATACTACTACTATTACTACTACTACCACCACCACTAGTCTCTTTACTGTCAATATATTCTCGCTTTTTGATATAATACAGCAGCAGCATCACTCTCTCTCTCTCTCTCTCTCGTTAACATTGTTTACATGATTATGGATATCTATGCAAGATGGTTTCTGTCTTTCTGTTCTAATCACCAAATTACATGGGATAAATGAACATGACAAATGTTGATCGTTACTCTCTATCATTAAAGAGAAAGCGAGGCAGAAAAAAACGAGTTAGGAGTTTTTTCTCTTATGTTCGAAGGTATGTCGTCATAAACTTTGATTAAGATATAGTAAAAATGATGAGACAAGGATATTTGGTGAACATATGCCATTAGATTGTTTTATTATTGAAGGAAACAACAAGACAAGAAATTCTCAGCTGTGCTCAGGTATTAGAAAAACTAGACTTTCAGTCTCAAACGCTCATTTTCTATTTTCTCTTTTTATAACCGCCCATATTATTACATCCACAGATGTCTAAATAATGTAAAATACGAAAACTAGCTTAAGAAAAAAACATTATAGGACATAATAATTCTCTATGCAAATTATTTTCGTTTTACGACACATCACAGTAATCCTCCTCCTAATAAAAATGGCATAAATCATGCTAATATCTTATTGTCAAATAGCTGTTTTCATTTAATATGAACTATGTGCGAATAGCTCGAAATATAAACATATTAGCATATTATACATGTCCAGTTCGTACTTACCTCTTCATTTTTTGGGCTCATCCATGATGCTGTTAACAATTTTTCAACATCAGATTGACTGATATCACTTGAACTTATCGGTGTTGTTGAATCATTTGTTGACGAATGTGATGACCATGATAATGATGGTGATCGAACAAATATTATTCGCCCATGTTTTCTTGTTTTTTTATAGCGAATATTTCCTATATTTGAATTATTATTAACAGCCAAAGCAAAATCATTAGGCACATTAAATAATGATGTATCACAATCAAAAAGTCCTTCAGAGTCTTTAGTGGATACCGTTGATGAACTCCGGAGTGTTTTAATAACATGAAAACCAATTTGTGATTCCATTTGAGATCAGCTGAAATATATAAATGTTTGTTTTATGGAAACAAAATGTCTTAATCAATGTAACTGTGAAAAGGAAATCAATCGACAGTGGACAATTAAATGTTGATGTCGTTACGTTTCTTCTTTTATACATGTATCAGATACATAGGAATAAAAATGTTTGCATGCATGCATGCACACATATTGGAGAAACACAATAGAGAAACGAGAATCTTATTTATGATTGTCATAAGTTTAGAAGAGTATTAAATTGTGACTCATCTCTCTTTGCAAACAATAAATATAAATTAGAATTAAGTGTACTCATAGTCTCAAATAAGTCATCTGATTAGAAAAGGTGCATATTCCATTTTACATCTGTTTTTCACTTTATTCAATTTTTTTTGCTTCTTCCTACTTCTCTTCTCGTTGTTTTTGTTGATTTATATTTATATTTTTAATAATGTTTTTTATCTTCAATTAGAAGAACAAAACAAAAAATTTAACACGATCGTATTTGGTTTTGTGCATTCACTTTTTTTTCCCGTTTCTTATTTTGTTCTGTTTGACAAAATATAGACGTACAAGATATGATCGAACGTCTTAGAATTTATTTTCAACCAAAACGTTAAAACAAACATCTCCTATTCTCTCATACGATTTAATTTTCTTTCCTGTTTCTTTCTTAACAAAGAGACACATATATTATCCACATACATACACGACAGAAAAACGGAACTCTTGATAATATACTGGTGTTGTGTTTAACAAAACGAGAAAAAAGAAAGAACCCGAGCAAGTGAGGGATGAGTTTTCAGAGTAATTCAAAATCTAAACCGAGCTAGTGCCAAAAGAGCACTCCAGTTAACAACAAAAACGAAGCAATGATCTTAAATCAGCGTTTTATATACCTATCTGACATGAATGTGAATTGAAAGACAACCTTGTGTAGGTATATCGAACGTTTCTCACATGCTTCATTATGGCCCGCGGTCAATGCACGTATCCACAGTCTTTTTATATGGTTAGAAAGCGGTAGCAGTGGAAAACACAAGCTAGTTTCAAGAACTGTCCATAAATTAGCTAATTTTTGCAGCAATAGCAATCGACAGCTTAGAATAACTCATTACATCTTCCTTTTTTGTCTCCTTATATCTATGAGGTTTTTTTGATGATCGCTATGAGCCGTGACGAACCTAGTAACTGATCATCAAAAGGACACCTCATGGGTTCATGGGTAGTACTTTAATCTAAAAGATAAATGTTACTGTGTTTTCTTAAGCGCACCCACGTGTCTATTAGATCCTCCACGACAGATAATTTCTAGAAAAGTATCAACAAATTATTTAGCGCTCAGATAGTTTTCTACTAAAACGCATTTATCAGACTCAAAATGTATTATCATCATGTGCATGATGATGTGTAATGTGTACTTTTTGATTAGTCTGTAGTGAGGTTTACTTTCATATGGTGTTTATTACTTAACATATGTGCTGGCCTATGGCACATGCATATGCCGCACGTGTCTAGTAGATCCTCCATGACAGATAATTTTTGGAAAATATCAACAAACTATTTAGCGCTCAAATAGTTTTCTACTAAAACGCATTTATCAGACTCAAAACTTATTACTTATTTTAC